ATATGGGATGCAAAACTATAGTCAAACTGTGTGTTTTTGTATTTTGTCTTGTCTTATCCCTTGACCTGGCTGCTCATCCACGCCATTGAGCCATCCAAAATATCTATACAAAGCCTAAAATATCCCACCCTCCACCTAAGCATAAGTTTACAAAACAGCCGCCTGTCCTTATCCACAATATATATATATATCAACTATTTTGTTGGCTGATATTTCAATCAAAAAGATATATTTGCATTGATTGATGGGTGGGTGAAATTAGACTATTGGGTGTACCGAAAGTGTTGATAAGCTAGGGAAATGGAAGTGCAATCAAACTAGCATTGGCCAGAGAAACCTTTACAATTCCTAAGCTATCATTATCAAATATCATCCTATAATTATATATATACACAGAAAGTTCAAGTGCTACTCACAGATTGAGAAATGTGTCCCACATTCTCACCTGATATGAGAATCAAGAGGAAGGAACACTGAATCTGGAACAACCAATGGCAACTTATCAATGTAAATGAACAGTCTCTTGCGATTCTCTTGAAAAATTAAAGTTAGATCCACCATCTCAGCCTTGTCTGTGTAGATCCAGAGATCGCCCGAGTTGACTCTCCTCAGGCTATCCCGACAGAAGGGACACGACTGAGAACGACCGCGCCTGCAGGGTGGAATAGACAGACAAGGTAGTTCTAGTTATGATGTTGAATATGAGTCTGAGAATGCTAGCAGTAAATGCACATATGGATGGCTGACAAGATTTTCAGATCCAACACAGAATTTAATCTTACCCCGTGAGAGAGAATGCATTTTGTCTATAGACTTGCCGACAGAAATGCTAATTTCATAATTTTTTCATAGTACTTTATAAGATAATGCTGGTCCTACTCCTAGAAGTGGATAACTTTGGGCGCGTTTGAACAATATAATTCTTTATTTCATTTAGTATTGAATTATTAATCTACTTTCTGGAGGGGGGTGGAGAAGGGAATAGGTTGTAATCAATCAAAAAAGTAAAATCACAAAAGCTTACCAATCTCGATAACACTTCAAGCACAAAGAATGGTTGCAGTTGGGCAGAACAACCATGCCGTTAACTTCCATACAAATTCCACACTCCTTTTCTCTTTCAATGTCGATTTCTGAGAGTTTTCCCCTTCCAAGTTCATCCCTTTTTTTGTACCTGGCATTGCAGACCTCTCTCTGTTTTCTATCTTCCAATTCTGTGATGCCTCTTTGAAGTTGCAGAAGAGAAGGGAAGATTACCACTGTCGACAAGAAGGCGTGTCCAGAAGCCACCCCACCAAAAAAGAACAAGAAGAAGAAGTTCAGAAAGCCAAGTTCCAAAAGAGATTCATTGCACCAGAGTTTAGATGTCATGTAAAGTAAATATTCATTATGGCCGCATTCTGAAAATCTCACTCACCATAAAATTCTCTAATGCTAGCTTTTCGCTCGTATATGGACATGGTGGTCTTTCCATCTGGATAAGTCTGCATCAAAACATAGTTGCAAACGACAAGAAGTAATTAAACAATAATTACCTTCATTGTCAGGAGATAGAACATCAGACTTCTTTTAAGAAAAAAATTTCTTTGTTTATCAATCAGAATATAACTTGATTATTACAGTTAAGGGCCTCCAATGGAAAAAATATCAAGACAACATAAACAAACAAAACCAAGAACAATTACCAACTGATGAATATTGCCAAATAGTAGTACCAAAATGAAAAGGGCATATACCACATAGATAAGGATTCTAAGCAGTCCCAAGGCACCAGCAAGGGAACAGTCAGTCCATTGAACAAGAAAAAGGAAAAATGGAGCTGCTGGACTGTAAGATAATCTCATTTGAACACAACCTCCATCATTCTCTCTCGGACAGTCTAAAGCACTGCAAACAAAAGGGTTAAGGTTAAACAAAAAACAGGGTTAATGAAAAATTTTACCAATTAAAACTAGCACCGATTTCTTTTTAATGAAGTTGCAATCAATCTGACATTTCCCCCTTCTCATCCAAAGCATTTCTTTTGCTTCCCACTGCTCATAAAGAGTAATCAACAATTACACATCATTCCATTTACTCTTTTGTAAACATCCTGAATTATGTCCAGCTTCTAATCAGATGAAACACTGATCAAAACCAGACTTAATAATTGAAATCAAACAATAGGGCAGTAATTACTGTCAATTAAATGCAGATGATAATAACTATCCCCGATTATTAGTATTCTAAATTTGACTCAACAATTTACTGAAAGATTTTTAGTTCGCTTGCCCAACATTCAACAATGTGGACCGTTTCAAAAAGTAAACAGTCCCTTGAATTGTCGACAGTAGAATATGTATCTTCTAGAGAAATCCACAGAGAGAGACAGAGTTAACAAGGAAAATCAAGAAAAAATCATTTTGTTGCAGAAAGAAACGAAAATTTTCCATGTAAACAGAAAATTTCGATTACAAGAGAGAGATGGAAGATAGTTACAGAGTATTGGCATGCTGAACATCGGCTTCAAGGGCTTTAAGCGAATCCTTGAACGAAATCTTTCCCATGGCCTCGAAATTTCCCGGATAAGGGAAAAAAAAACAGTTTCCAATCGAACGAAAGAACAAACGAGCGATCAGTCAAGGAGAATCAAAATCCCGAGGCGAAACCCTACAGATTATCCCCATAATCAAACAGAAAATTCTCGTAATCGAAATTAGAGACGAAATGATAAGTAGAAATTCTTCTGCGCTTCCTCTCACAGCTCCGTAGTCTCTCAACTTCGCTGCTCCTTCTTATAGACCAACGGAATTTACCATTTTACCCTCCTTCCAGAAATAAAATTACGTTTCAGTCCTTTAGAAAAAGTTTTATGTCTTCATCCGGCTGCGATCGTGTACGGTCGAGTAGACCCCACCGTTTTTCATCCTAGCCAATGACGTGTCGTCAGCAATAAGTTGTGGGCCCCACAAGTATAAAGAGAAATGGAGGTGGTGAATTCTTATTGGCTAATAGTAATGCCCAGAAACAGCCGGCGACGCCCAATGTTTTGAGTTATGGCGGCTAGGGTTAAATTTCTTGTACCAGTTTTAGGATTTGGGTTCATGTTTGATGATAAAAATTTCGACAAATACTCATACTCATAAAAAATCTGCGTACATTTATATGTAATTGTAGTTCTAAACGTTGATGTTGTTTTTCGTCGAGCTCACCGATTGGTCACGAGCTAACAAAGACGAGCTCGCAACTAACTTGAGCGTCAGAGTGTTCGTTCCATGTGCAGGTTCACTTGTGAGCACCTCGGCAGCTTCACACATTTTAATGTTTCTAAAAAATTTAGTTGAAGGTAGAAGTTGAGTGATAAAATGCACTTCGTGCTCCAAATCTTTCTGATAGAAAGTATCCTTGGGTTGGTTCGAGCGGACTGACTCAATCGAGTTCGATCAGTACAGTCTAAGTGGTTCGACTATATTTAATCTGATGATCATATATTGGTTCAATTAGGTAAGGTGGTTCAATTATAGCATCCTGATCCAGGTCGCTTCTGTGGCGAGTGTTAACGACATATTGATTGTATTTTTTTTTTTGGTCAAGAGTAAATGGAATTTTTATAAATTAAAGTATTAATAATTATTATTTGTTAAATTAAAGTGTGGATAAGGTTGGATTAGTTGACATATTTGTCACTTTCCTCATCTTCAAATATTAAAGTATTGCCACTGGGAGAATGTATAGTATATCCCATCTAGCTTGTACTTATTAACTTTTTTTTTCATCCCTTTTGAATAATATTATATTATTTATCTTTAAGGCTCATAATAATTAACCACTCATTGAATTAAACAATAATTGCCCACTTTTTTTTCTTCTCATTGGTCAATATTTTGCAGAATATGGTATAACGATTTTTTTCTTTACAACTATACGTTATATTGCCCTAAATTTGTACGAGTGTATTTATTGCGTGTCTTTATTTTAAAAATTTGGTCAAAAAATACATTTATTCTCTAAACTTTCACTAAAATAACGATTCAGTTTCTAAACTTTCAAAAGTAATGATTTATACTTTAACAAGGAAGTTGAAGTCACACACCAAGTCATAGTCAAAACAAAAAGATCTATCCTTAAAAGTTGTTGTGGATTTTTTGTTACAATATTTTGTTAATTTTATATTCTTTTTCTTTTAAAATTAGGATACATTTTTGTATAAATATGGCCTTCAAGTGTCATATAATAGAGTGAAAACAAATACAAACATCTTACCATCCGTCTGAAACTTTCTCTTGTGAAATTCTTACTTTGTATTAGAGCTGTAATGGTCAACGCCTCCTCCAACACCTCTACCCACCTCACCTTTAGCAACCCACTCAATCAATTGCTTAACCAAATCACCACAATAAAGCTATATAGAAGCAATTACTTGTTTGGAAAAAAACTAGCTTTACCCATATTACGAAGTTACAAACTAGAGAGGCATCTCTCCGGCGAGCACTCATGCTCGCCCATTTTTGTGCAACAGTCGATTGGTAATATGGAAACAAGCCAAACGAACACATCGCATCGTTGAGTTCGTCTATAGCAATGGAAACAGGTGTCGATCCACTATGTGAGTCATGGGTAACTACTGACCAGTTACTTCTTGGCTGGTTGTACAACTCTATGACTCTAGAAGTTGCAACACAAGTGATGGGGTATGAAAATGCTCATAATTTATGGGCTGTCATATAAGACCTATTTGGAGTACAGTCTTAGGCTGAAGAAGATTATCTCTGTCAGGTATTTCAACAGACTTGAAAAGGTTCTCTTAAAATGACTAAATTTTTTGCGTGTTATGAAGTCTCATGCAGACAATTTGGGTCAAGCTGGAAGTCCCGTACCCACTTGATCTTTGATTTCTCAAGTTCTGTAGGGATTAGATGAAGAGTATAATCTTGTGGTAGCAACGATCCAAGGAAAAAGAGACATTAAGTGGCCTGAAATGCAAGTCAAATTGTTGGTATTTGAAAAGAGGTTAGAACTTTAGAATTCTCATAAAATACAGTATCATTTAGCAACTTTGTTTCTGTGAATATGGCTACCAGTAGCAGAAATATAAGTGGTGGAAACCAACATCCAAATCAAAACTCTTGGCCACCATTCAACAACAATCAGGGGGAAGGGAGGTCGAAATCGAGGTAGAGGACGGTGGAACAACAACAATAGTCAACAAATTTGCCAGGTGTGTGGTAAACCTGGACATTCAACACTAGCATGCTACCATCGATTTGATAAGGGGTAAAGGAACAATACAAAAAGTCAGAGTAAAAACTTCAACAACGACTCTAATCAGGGAGTTAACAGCAACCCTAGACAAGGTACATCTTATGCCTTCACAATAACCCAAAATAACAATCCTTTTTTGGCCAATCCAGAAACAGTGGTAAACCCGAATTGGTATGTGGATAGTGGTGCTTCAAATCACGTCACCACGAACTACAATAGTATGCTTCAACCTACTGAATATGGAGGTATAGAAAGAGTTACAGTAGGTAATTGCGATAAATTAAAAATATCCCATGTTAGTAAATCCTGTTTAGTTTATGACAGTAGGTTGATCATACTTGAAAATGTGCTGTGCGCACCTAACATAGCTAAAAATCTAGTTAGCATGTCCAAACTCGATAAAGACAATAATGTATACCTTGAATTTCATACTGATTCTTGTCATGTAAAGGATATACATTCGGGCAAGGTGGTGCTGAAAGGGGCTCTTAGAGATGGACTTTACCGCCTCAATACAGTTGGAGTAGTTATTGGGAGTACTTCGAGTCTAGTTGACCCTGGCTTGGAGTTGACTACTAATAAAACTATTTGTTCTGTGTCTCTTCCCAAATCATTTAGTAGTATAAATGTTATGGTATCCAAGGACGTTTGACATCGTTGACTTGGACATCCGTCTTCTCAAGTTTTTAGAAGTTTAATTAAACGTTGCAATCTGCCCGTAACAGTTCATGATAATGTCAACTTTTGTGAAGCATGCAAGCATGGTAAATCTCATGGAGCGCCTTTCCCTCTATCTAGTTCATGAGCTCTGATTTGTGTAATTCAAAAGACGTTGGAATCGTTATTTCGAGCTTTATGCTGTGGACACTTCAAAACACTAAAATTTTCAATAAACAAAATTAGGTTTGTTATCGTCAAAACATTAATTAATTAATTAATTTGAGATTAAGCGCCAAAAAATCAATAGGGTTAGAGAGATTTTGAAGGGTAGTAGCCTAAGTAGTGGGTTAGTCTGTTTTCTTATTTCCCTATAAATTCTTGTAACAATTCTCAATTCAATGAATAAAAGTTCTTCCTTCGAACAATTTTTCTCTTGCTTCTACGATGTTGTTCTCTTCGTTTTTCGTTACATGGTATCAGAGTGTTCAGGTTCTTTATCCTGTATTTGAGTTTAGTGCTCGTTGTTTGAGTCTAGTGCTTGGTGTTTGAGTTTAATACTAGGTGAAGATAAACGGTGGAAGAAATGTTAAGCTTACCGATGATAATTATATCTACTGAAAGCTATGTATGGTAGCTTTTCAATCATCATGGGTGGCTTATTGGTCTAAAGTGGCTAGGGTTAATTAAGAGAGAATGGGTTCAAATCCCATGATGTCCATCTACCTTAGGAATTAGTAATTCCTTTGTGTTTCTCGGCACCAAACGTTGTAGGAAGATCAAATGTGGTAAAGTTTTATTTGCTTTGTGAACTTCTATTGGTAAGGAGTATATCGAGCATGTTCGTGATGTAGATTCTCCAAAAGAAGTGTGGGATACACTTGAAAGGTTGTTCACCTGGAAGAACATGACGAGGTTGCAGTTTTTGGAGAATGAACTTACTGGTTCAACTCAAGGTAATTTGTCAATTTCAAAATATTTTCTGAAAGTTAAAAGTTTGTGTTATGAAATTTCAGAATTGGACAAGAAGGAGCCCATTACCGATGCTTGTTTGCGTTGGTATCTTATCGTGGACTGCGAAAGGAGTTTATGCCATTTATTTCTTCGATATAAGGTCGGGTAACTTAACCTTCTATCATTGAGTTGGAAAATTTGCTATCAAATCAGGAAGCCTTGGTGGGTGACAACAAACAAGCTTCTTCCGAGATAGAAGCCAACAAACAAGGATGTTTTAGGTGCGGAATGTTAGGACATATCAAACGTGATTGTCGAGTGAAGGTGGTATGTAGTCGATGTGGGAAACCAAGCCATATTAGACAAAATTGTCAAGTGAAACTTAAAAAAGCAAAAGCAGATGTTGTACAAGAAATTAACAAGTCTGAACAACTCAATCGGGAACATTGTTTATCAATTAAAGTTATTGATCAACCCATTAATTGTTGTCCTAATGCTTCTTTTGATTATAGTGATGACTGGTCTGATGGTTTTGGTTGTTTTCATCATACTACTGAAGATGTATCTCTTATTTATGATGTTTGTGGAAGAAGAGTCAATGCTGAGGCTGATAATTCCTTACATCCTGATGTGGAAGGACATGTCAATGTTGAAAATCGTGAATGTGGTAGTGTTCCTCGTAAAGTTGGTTGTCATGATCCAAATTTGAAGGAAAATTTTGTTTCAATCTCTTAAGTTGTTGATGCTGGGAGTTTTTCTAAAAACAAGTTGAATTGTGATAGAAATTCTGCATATTCTTGTACTAGATATAATACAAGTTTAAGTTGTTTAAATAATCTGAAGGTTAGCCTTATATCTGGACTTATTGCTTGATTAACATTTGTTC